TTCAAATGGACACTGGGCTCTCGAGAGTAATCTGGAATGTATCGCCGGTGGCATCCGATGAAACCTAAAAGTTCCTTACGTCTCCTACACTGCTTGTTGAACTGATTCTCAAGTTCGCTATTGCTTCCTTGTCCTCAGGTCCATCTTAATGCCATTTTTCCCGATACTACATGTCCAAGATAACGCACTTCTTTCTTGAAAAGGTTGCACTTCTACGTGTGGTTTCAACTTGACGCCAGATCCCTTTAACCGTTGCAACACAAGTTTCACATCTTCCATATGTTGTGAAAAATCCTTACTGAAGACAATCACGTCATGTAGATATATAAGGGCAGATGGTGTCCCTCAGCCCATGCAAACAGATATTCATGAATCGCTGGAATCGCTGGGAGCTCCGTCAGGCCAAAAGGAATGCTAGTCCATTCATATAATCCCCAAGGACTGATGAAAAGCAGTGTATGGCCTACAACTCTCCTTTACAAATCCCTGGTGATATGCCTTGCCTTGATCGAGTAGTGTGAACAATCTGTTTCCTCCAAGGCTGTCAAGAGCGTCTTGTATGCATGGAAGCGTAGTGCCTGTCACTCACTGTTTTGCTGTTCAGTGCGGTAATCTATGCACAGTCTCAGAGTGGAGTCCTTCTTCCTTACACATACCAGAGGACTTGAATAATTTGATTTAGAGTGTTTAACCCAACCCAATAATCTTTACTTCCTTATATAATGGTCTTGGAATTGATCGTACGAGCTTCTGTACAGGCACATTATCAGTTAGTTGAATGTCCATTTCTAATCGGGGATCGTACCAATATCATCATCATTTTTTACTGAAGACACCAGACTCTTTAAACAACATCTGCTGGATCACTTACTGTTGTTCATCAGATAGAGTCTGGACTATCTAAATCCACTGGAGGCTGCCAATACTCTGAGGTGTCTTTCTGTACAGGCTGTGATGTATCGTCAATATCTGTGTGTCTTTGTGAAGTAACTCTGTCGGGCTGGTACAGCATCGTCCTGGGAAGGGGATCACAGATGATCCTTGCTGGAGTGAACCATTAGGCAGGGTCCTTCTGTACCTTGTTGATGTCATGGTTCGTGGAGTTCACACTAATGTCACTGGAATGTTGTTCTTGACTCCCTCTTCAGCCGAAGAAGTGATCATTGCACTTGAATCCGATTGGGCCATGGTTCCTCCATGTTTGGTTCGAATGAGACAGTCTCGTGGGTTCACTGACACATGGTTGCTACCATACACCCTGACCTGTAGAACTTGACCTACCTTTTAATAACAGACATCACCTGTCTTCCACTGCAAACTTCTACAGAAGGTCTCTGGCGCTCTTCCTGCAATAGCTTCACAACAGCTTCCAGCTTATTTCTATTAACTGCTGGTAGTCCTGACTGAATGACATGTACCATACTAGACTCAACCTGATTGAAGAGATACTGCTCAATCACATTAAATCTATAATGGGAATAAATAACCACAGACATTCTAGTGACTAGAAATGGAACACACACAGCTGTCCGTCTGCAGATCCCTAAGCAATTCAAATTATACCTGTACCCATCCTTCGAATGGTATATTTCTCACCATACGCTGCTTTAACTACCAACTCATCATTATCTAACAACCTACTAACTAGTCTAATTTCTAATTCTGGTTTGTTTTCTTTTTAACCACTGCATTGGTAAAATAGAGACCTGAGCACCTGTATCCCACAATGCTTTTGTCTTCAATCCATCAAACACTCATCATTTTACATTGTTTACCAACTAGACGCACTATTTTGTCTTTTTGCCGTGGGTGAGATCAGTGTTCTTCCCTAACCCAAAATCGTTTTGTTCTAAGTGTCTCTATAGCAGCACATATTGGTTTGTGTAAGTCCCAGTGCACTGCTTGACAACTGTAGGAACAACATAATGCACTATGACACGCTGAACACTGATAGAGATGTTCATTATCCGCACCCTGTCCACACTGCACACATACATTGGGCAGATTGTCAATAGTCAGTGATTGCCCTACATTGCTGTCTCAATTCCGTTTCTGATGTCGGCCCTCGTCTCGCCTCTGCTTGCATCCAGCCGAGGAAGTGCTCTGATGAGCCACATCTAAACAGAGGTCACAACTCGACTGTCCACTCTGCTGACACTGCAGACACAAATGTGTCCGAGGTACTCTTGATGCGTGCTGTTGTTGTTGTTGTTGTTTTAAAGAGGCAACTTCAGCCAGAAGTGTTCTTCAAATGTTCCCCAGTAGATATTTCTGTCTCGACCGACTTCATGTTTGCAACTTGAGTATTCTTTCCTCCTTTCTTTCCTTTTCTGCAGACACAGTGGCGCCCACTTGACAAATTATCTCTGTCGTCATCAGGGTTCGATGTCAGGGTTGCTCTCAACTCCTGAGCTATTATCGGATCTCTCAACCCGGTGGATTATTGTTCTGAGTGTCATACTCCTGACCAGCTTCTGGTCATACACTATCTCTGATCCTTCTTCTCTGCAGGAGAAATTTATCTTCTGACTCTAGTCAATTGCAAGCATTCTCCAAACAAAAATCTAAAGTCTCTTCCTGCTGACCCCGAGCTCCCCACAACTCAGATCGTGATATAGCTCTGTAGCTGCTCTTCATAGTATGTACGAAGGAGTTTACGATACAGGTAAGCTGGAGGTCAGTCTTCCTTTCAATATATCCCTGAGAGGTTCTGTGAAGCTGGAATCGCTCTGATCACGCCATCAATGATTTCAGCTGTCCTATACTCTCTTTCTTCCGCAGATTCAATCTGCCTGATCAAGCTGATACATCCTATCCCTTTCTTCATGATGGATCCATGAATCTTGAAGTCCTTGCGGTCAGTTACTCTGACCACTGGTGGTTGTGCTGCTGGAGCCAACTTCGACTCAGATGAGATATCTTTGATTCTCAACCAGTGCAGCTAACAACAGTTGAGTTTCTTCTCCCTCTTGGGTTTGTCTGTTCTGCAGTCAGTGATGAACGACTCTACTGTCATCAACAAAGTTGATCAGTCGGCACCAGACTTGACAGGAATCCCCATACGCTGGAGCAGATCTGACAAGTCGTCGACATCTCGGCCATACAGACGTGACTTGACCTCCAATTCCCAGTCTGCATCGGCATGTTGCTGATGTCTCTTCTTAGAGACTATCAATTCTGCCTAACAATCATCTAATTTCCCAACACAAGACGTTTATCTCCTAAATATATGTTTCTGAACTGAGGAGTTTGACTGTTCAGTCGACGTTTTCAGGAGACGATTGTCTTAAAGCTGGGTTCAAGAGAGGCTCGACGGTGCTCCGGATGTTTTGTAAAACTCTATTTCACTTTAACTGTGGAGATAAGGACTCCGCTGCGAGCTTGACTGATTGTCTACCATTGCGCATTGTGGATCAGTCGCTCAAATATCCCCAATTAGGACAGATCCCCACCAACAGAACAAGAACGGGTGGCCCAGTGGTTTCTTATGTTCCCGTCATATTGCCCTGTAAGAACTTCCACAGCTCGCCATGATGTATCACTCAATATCATTCAAAGCAGTCGTGACGGACTGACTGGTGATTATCCTCTAGACCATTTCACACCTTAAGCTCAGACATGTATATGTTGCTATGTATTTATCATCATGCACAGAGAGGCGGTGGGACAGTCCAGTGGTTACAGCGTTTACTCGTCACGCCGAAGGCCAGGTTCGATTCTGCACATGGGTACAATGTGTGAAGCACACATTTCTGGTGTCCCCGTGATAATGCTAAAATATTGCTCAAACTGGCGTAAAACCCAACTCACTCACTCATTATGCAGAGAGAACTACACACTGTCTTCCAAATGACAAATACGTAACCTGCCGTTTACATAAGCTACCATCAGTCCACGACTCAAATCTGATAATTAATTGCCTTATACCTATTGTGTAAGTGTGTTTACCTGGACGATTTCGACGCCTCACATGTACCACACCGAACGTCTTCCGTGGATTCGTCTGGAGCATCTGGCTCCGCGAAGATGAGTTCAGCAAGGTGGGCATGATCTTTCTTCAGACTGGGTAAGAGGAGAATTTTGGAATGCTTCAAACGTTACTTTCCGTAGATATATCTGGAAAGAAAAACTTGTTGAAAGATACTCTGCGTAACTGGATATCACACACTAACCATATCACAAGCCAACGTAGTGTCGATTACCCGCGACAACAGATTCCATTGGACGTTAACAGACAAATTAGGGGCTAATTCCATGAATGGATCGCTGAAACATAGGTAGGCCAACAGTTGATCGCGGACGGGGAAAAGCATGCCCTACCTACCTGTAAAATAATATGAGATGTCCCGAATGATATTACTTTTGTGGTACTTATTAGATTCCATTGTCAAGTATGAACCTCTGAATGACATTTAGAAGTTACAGGTGGGAGCTTTGCGGATATCAACTTCCTCATGTTGACGTACACTACGTTTCGGAGTAGATACTTACTCGTTCATATACATACCCCGAAAGATCGCGTTAATCAAAATACAGAGTTGACATCCATAGACTCACCCCGCACTTCGCACCCCATCCCCAACCCCCATCCCACACCCATGTACGTTTCAACATTATTTCCTTGCTACATCTTGCAATCTACAAATGCTGCTCTGCTCTATTGCATTGTGGGAAAACCATGGCAACACAGCGTAAGGAATGGTCACAAACCTTATGTATTTTTCCATATACGTGCACAAACATATATGTTGCACAACCTGATCTACACATCATAAGGAACAAGACGATTTAGCATTCATTAATGATCTTCACCTGCACAAACACATATATGTTGCACAACCTGATCTACACATCATAAGAACAAGACATTTAGCATTCATTAATGATCTTCACCTGTAAAATTCTTCATTCTGCTGACTTCTTGGTTCCCTTCATGATGATGCTGTCCTTGTCAGAAACAGACGCTGACGTCATCCTCCAAAGTCGGTCAAGGACAGAAGAGTTCACAAGGTCAAAGGTCGCTGATTAGGTGGCTGTAACATTTTTCAGAGCGTCTCTGTGGATGTTGAGTCTCTTGTCTTCTTATTCTGAAAATGGATCCTATAATGTCAACGCCAGACAATAACCAGTCTCGACTGACTGAAGAAACAGAATCCATCGGGCTTAAAAGGCAAAATTGTATTCTGTTGGGTGGTTTCCACGCATTTTGAAAGGACGGTTACGATTTGAAAAATATGTGACCATTTTCATTGTCATAAAGTATTTGGGTTTCACATGGCCCTCGGTTTACCAAAAGGGGACAGGATGTTCGTCAAGCAATAAACACATATTAAGGAATCTAGAAAACATGCAACACATTTAGTGATTTCCTGAAAGGTTTGCAATGTGTGTTACCAAAAGGGCTTTGTTGTTGTTTAACGCAGCATTTAGCAATATTCCAACTACATGACGGTGGTTTGTAAATAATGGAGACAATCCAGTGATCAAAACAGGAGCATCGATCAACGCAACTGGGATACGATGACATGTGTCAACTAAGTCACTGCCCCGACTACCCACCTCTTTACGACAAGCATGGATTGTTTAAGACCAATTTTAACCTGGATCTTCATGGGTCTGTTCGGACTGACTGTAATGGAGCATAAATGTTCCTACGATCTGATAAACCATTACATTATACACAAAATACCCGTCGGATTTTCACGCTCCCCATGGTACAGATGTACAATACTCTTTGACAGCGCACCACCGACATTTTAACTGGTTCCACTCATAGGCGGATCCAGGGAGATGCAGTGTTGGGTGTGTGCAGGGATGCGCACCCACTTTGTCCTGAAAGTTAATTAAATGACCATTGAAACTCTCTTGAAAACAGGTGAAAATGAAGTGTGCAAACCCCCCACCCTCGCCCTTCTGACTGCATGATCAACCTGTACACGTGCAATACGTACCTATTATAAACGGTTCCCTTTCACGAAATACTTGCATGATGTAATTTTCCGTGCAAGAAATATCGCTTTGCACTTTCTTCGGGTTGCACTGACCAAGTTGTAGCAATTTGGCACATTTTTGAGCATACATTTTGAACCTCTCCTCAACATTATGGATACTCTTTACCATCTCCTCTTTGATAATGTCCTTCACCTGTGGAATGTCATCAACACTCGATCCACTATAGTCATCCTCAGTTTCAAGGCCGCATAATCGTTTTAAGAGATCGTTGACGACCGAATCTGGCACACTACTCCGATATGATTCCACCATTTATGGAGTAGAGTCGCGTATTCCTACTGTTTGATGTGTTCGTTCCTGAAAGTAAGATGGTATTGTCATGGATGTGATAAGAACACTGTAACAAACATATTTATATTGTGAATGACGAGAAATGTATGAATGGAATGAATGAAATTGTATGTATGTATGTATGTATGTATGTATGTATGTATGTATGTATGTATGTATGTATGTATGTATGTATGTATGTATGTATGTATGTATGTATGTATGTATGTATGTATGTATGTATGTATGTATGTATGTATGTATGTATGTATGTATGTATGTATGTGTGTTTGTATGGATGGATGGATGCATGTTTGTATGGATGTATGCATGTATGTATGTATGTATGTATGTATGTATGTATGTATGTATGTATGTATGTATGTATGTATGTATGTATGTATGTATGTATGTATGTATGTATGTATGTATGTATGTATGTATGTATGTATGTATGTATGTAGACTGAAATGAAAGGAGTTGGAATGTAACGAGAAAAAACTAACATTTTAGGCAATTTAAATTGGACAGAGAGCTGAATGTACTGGACTTTGTAAACCTACTGCTGAAATGTATCTTCAAACGTTGAACTCCGTGGTTACATCAATTACAGCTTCAGACAGGGTATGATTATACAATGTTTAAAAGAGACATAACAACAATGGAATTATATGGTTAACTTATATGGTTAAAGTTGAACAAATATTCTGACATCTTGAGATGTTGAACATATCTGTATCAGTAGTAAATGTACTTTTATAGACAATCAACTAATGATTTAATTATATGTGATCAACTATTATTGACATTTCTTGTTTCCATGATAACTGTAATTACATACTGTGATGGGTCCCTTGCATCTCCGTTTTAGCAATGGTGTCAATTTACAAAACAAATTACAGGTTTCTCTTGACGGTTGATTGTAGTTATAGGTGGTATTTTGTATGTGTGTGTGTGTGTGTGTGTGTGTGTGTGTGTGTGTGTGTGTGTGTGTGTGTGTGTGTGTGTGTGTGTGTGTGTGTGTGTGTGTGTGTGTGTGTATCTATGTGCCCATGTGGGGAATCGAACCTGGGTCTTCGGCGTGACGTTTTAACCACTAGGCTACCCCACCCCATGTATGTATGTATGTCCTTTGCTTAACATACGATAGACGATGATCAGTGTCAAGATAAGAGATGAGAATAAGGTGTGATAATATCGTGATAATATCGTGATAATATCGTGTTTATGTAGACACGAGCATGTGCGTAATCGTGCCGGAGGACGAGAGCGCGTCTGTTGGTCTCACGCAGCCCTGGTTCGAACCACAGACTATCACGGTCTTAAATAAGAGTCAGATATTCTATCAAATTTAAAGGAAAATGTAAAAAGTTTACCTTCTTTAGATACGCTTTTCTCTGAATGTTACTGTTAAACTGTACCTATATTTAGTAACGATGTGAGGCTATATTTATCGATTACTCGTAGGGACTACATATAGAATTTACCGTTCAACGATACAGGTGTTCACTCATCAACATCACGTGAAATTTACTCTGACGCCCTCGACAACACCCGAGTCAGGTGACACTGACTGTGTTGTTCATTAGCCGGACATGCGTCTCCAGCTGTGTATTCGAGTGTACCAGCGCAACCCTACGGGCTCCTACTCGAAGACAACTCACAAGCACAGTTACTGACACATGATATAAACCTAGCTGGACTGACAACACCAAATAAATTTACTCACTCAAAACCTTTTAACTGAAGTTTGTGGCACCCTGACAAGTTTAAAATGAAAGTTCGGGATTTTCCCCGGTTATATTTATAGTAAGACAGCGTAACTGGCACAATGTGGCAAATGCGCGTTCGCGTTGGTCTAGTTAGACAGGAACCTAGTCCTATCAGAAGAAACGTTTATTGTTGCTTTCGTTTCTTATTTAGGTTCAGTTTGAGTATAACATGACGCAAAAAAACGTGGTTTGACTTTTCCGGTAAAGTACCGTACAATACAATGTGGGATATTGTTGTTTGTGACGTAGGTGGGTATGCTAAATATGCAAGCGTATGTACCAAAACAGGTAACTTAATTTAGAGTGACTGAGGGGTGGGTGGGTGAGTGAGTGAGTGAGTTGGGTTCAACGTCACTTTGAACAATATTCCTGTTATATTAGGATAACTGATATATAGGGAAAGCCCGTATTGATGCTGGTCTCAGGTGTCTGTTGAAACCCACCAGCATGGGTATATCGCGCTCTCAAGTCTACACACATATTCGGAGTAAACCCGGATTCGAACCCAGGTCCATGGGGTTTTGGCGTACACAAGAGACGCAACTCTGCACGACTAATTGCGGAAAGGTTTTTGGGAAAAAACAAAACAATTCTTGTGAGGTCACGAACAGCGAATGTACGACGTGTCGTCTCGGTGGAGCAGGCATATACATCTACAGTTCACATTCGAAGTATCATTTTCCCAAGAATCTCAGGTTCACCTGTGGTAAATGACGACCCCTGACTCTTTAGTAGGGTGTTCTTGTAATGGAAATTCGTTGCCGAAATACTGATATACAGAAATTGCGTTTCACTGACCGACATGGAGAGATCAGAAATGTAAAACACGTTCTGTGTTAAGAGATCCTTCCAGCACCTGAAGGGATAACGCCATATCTAAAGTGCAATGCGGTCTCAATGTATAACGTCATATTGAAAGTAGTATGTCATGTTTTAAGGTATAACGTCATGTTTGAAGTATAATGGCACGTCTTAAAGTACTGTCGGAAATAGAAAAAAAATGTTTTTAGGCTATTACTCTGTATCCTTAACATTTACACAATTGCAAATGGCATATGTCGAAATAACCAACGTTGGCGTTCAGTGGGATATCTAGAAAAGCATGTTTACTCGTAAAATCGGGCAATACTTAGAAAAAATACGAATAGCTGCTGAAAACAAACAGACTATAGATGGCAATTAGGTCGCTCAGCCAGGTATGACGACGGATCGTCGATTCCTCTGGCATGAATTGCACGTGCTGCCTTCAGGCGCAAGGGGTCATCTCAAAGATATTTTATGCTTTTTCATATGTGTTGAATATGTTTCATCTATTGTTTGACATTTTATGTGGGGTTTTTTTCATAAAGTTTATGTTGAGATATGTAAAAGAGTATGATATCCCATAGCAAAGCTTAAATCAGCCATCGTATTAAATGTCTCAAAATGTGTAAGTGACATGACCACCCGAAGATCTACAAGACTCGATTTTATTTGTAAATTGTATGACATACCGTTTGTTTCCCCAATTTAATTCCCCTAAAGGATTATCTTGTCTTATCTGATATCTCTGTTGCCACATGTAGATATTATCAGTAATGAATATTGATACACGCTTAGAACTGTCGTCATTACTGGTATTTATTGTGACGTCATAAATCATAACTTCGTATAAGAAATGTACAGTCAGTTACGTCCAAATTGGCATTTTACAACAAAAATATTTTGAGCGCATGAAATTATGTGAACTTCGTATGAAGTTTTAAAATCGTATTGAATCCTAATCCTACTAACGGCCTGTGAGTACTGTTTTTACGATAGCGTACTGGGCAATATTACACAATTAAATGTACAGTCTGTTTTCATTCTACGTCCATCACCGCTGTTATAAATGGTTAACGAGAGATCATACAACTAAAACAAACCACTGAAACAAAATGCGCTTAAATCTTTTTTGTTGTTGTTGATATATATTTCAAAGAATTTAGATTTCAAGTGATTTAGTGATTTACATGCGCAGTGAAATAGGTTCGCACAGCTTGGAAGCGGGTTGTTCGGTGAAGGCTTTGGTATGAGCTATTTTCTAATGTTTTGTTGATATTTCACAGGCGCCTGCCCGTCTGCTAATGACAATATTCAATACACAACTTCGATCACTGACCACATGCAATTTGAACACCTATCAGGCTATACACCATAAACAAATCGCATTGATTTATGGCCCGAGTTCGGTCGCTGTCACATGATCTAATTACACAAACAGGCAGGTGTGATACTTGTACACGACATGTTATGATGTCTATTGATTGCAAAATGTTATACACAAAAAATGAGCATGTATTTACAAAACCCAACATCTCTATATATACACACACAATGAGCCGTGAGGGCATCGGCAAATGGTGAACCAGCCGTTACACTTGAGTGCACACCCACCCGCTCTGACTGGGTTCGGTATCCCGGCTGCTTCGTTTCTAGGGAAGTAAACCCAAATACAAAATATTGCACTTTTGATTTGCGATTGTACGCTTATAATTTTGTTTATATGGTTTTTCATAATCAGCAATGTTTATTAAATGTGATGAATAAGTGATACTTGTGTTTTAATTATGTTTGATTTTTGGGTTGCATGTGACCTTTAAGTTTATACCTAATTCCATTTAAGCCTTCTTACTACGAGCTGCAAGCTCTGAGACAACTTGTCTAAGACTACAATTACAAGCGAAAACAAGACCTAGATATTTGTAGCAGTTTACCGCTTCAATGTTTCTCTCATCATAAAGCGAGTTTTCCTTAACCGCTAATTCCCCACCTCTCCTAAAAACAAGATTTTTAGTTTTATCTAAATTTACAGTTAATCACCAGTTATCTGCATACGATTTTAAAGTGTCTAACTGGCACTAAAGACCACCAATAGTATCTGACACAAGAATTATATCATCCGCAAATAACAACATTAGAATTTCAAGTACATCTGGAAACAATATTTCTCCATGTTTACCATAATTTGTGATTTCTACAGGAAGTTCATTTATAAACAATGAGGATAACATTGGACTCAACATAGAACCCTACCGTAAACCAAATGTACCGTTAACTCGGATTGAATTCTGACACACGATTTCACTGTTTTATATATACTCATAAGAGCTTGCAACTTTGGTTTACGCCGTATGATGAAAGCAATTTCCAGAGTTTATCTGTATTTACAAAACCAAAAGCTTTTATAAAACCTTCTTCTACACAGATTTTTCTCGATGATAGTATACAATGTGAAGATATGGTAAACAACTGAATAGCCCTTCCGAAAACCAGCTTGAGTTTCAGAAGCTTTATCCATAACATTTTGCCCATTTTGTTAGTCTTTCATTTAAAACACAAGTATATATTTTTCCCGTGTGAGCTGAGTAAAGGAACTATAATTGCTCTACTCCACATTTGTGGGAAACAACCGTTTAAAATATTTTATTGAACATTGCTACTCAAAAGGGCATTATTTTAGATTCAGTTGTTTTAATCATTTCTATAAGGACGTTATCAATACCTGGAGATGTACCATTTTTCATATGTTGTATCACATGGATTCAAATCACTGTTTGGACACTGTTACGCAGTGGAAAATTAAACTAAAACTACATAAATTTTGACACCTTTCAATCAACTAAATGTGAAATCCCCTTATAATCAACTAAATGTGAAATCCCCTTTTTTAACGCAATGAGAAATGTGAAACAAACTAATAAATCATGAAGTTTAAACTTAATATGAGGAAACTGTCCATCTAGCAACTGTCAAAATGTTAATGGATAATTCTCTCGACAATGTGTATTTCTATTTCTATTTGATCTATACCTTTCTTGCTAGTTCAACATCTATCACGTGGAGAGAGTTACCCATTAACAACCGTCACTAGCGCCTAAAACTGAAAGTTTTAACATCTGTATCATACGCGGTCGACCTTGCCGCGCGTGTATTTGTGCTATCAAGTACTGTGTCCTAGAACATCAGTTCTTCACGGACCCTTCAGAACAGACACTTATTTAAAAAAATGAAAATGTATACTTTCGCAAACGTATATTGCTTTTATATGTTATGATTAACATATATTTCAAGTTTGAACAAAATCGGTGAAGAAATGAATATTTTAGAAAATTCTACCTCTACACCCGTTACATCCGTTACATAAAATACACAAGGCGTTGACACTCGCGATGCTAGAAACCTAATCGAAACTGGACAGCCCGATTCTACACAAAATATTGTGTTGAGCTTGTAGGTCATGCATTTACCTTTCTACCCATCGTATTCAATTTGTCTAACTGCATTTCATATTTGACCGCTGACCCTCGCATTAGCACTACCCTCTGCTTTGAACAAACGTCTAGCCTCTCGTCGGTAAACACCGAAAATCTTGAATGTTATTTAAGCCGTTTCGAGACAATAACACATATGCCATTTGTAAACAATAACACATATGCCATTTCCAACACCGACATGTGCGTTGATATTTCGTGTCAGCTCGCTGTTGTCTCGAAATAGTACACACAAAACATGGATCTTAACGACCAAATTGATTGAATATAGTTAGTATTAATGAAGTTTGATTAGGTATAATTCGATGATTTGGTCCTATTTTCTCCTGTTCTATGCTGGAAATAAACTGAACGCCTAGTAATAGTAAATAGAAAATGTTGTTACCACATT